CTTTCTGGCTTTGTGTGTGCGTTCGCGTGTGCATCATCTGTGTGTTAATGTAAACACGGCTGCATGTCTGAACTCCAATCATCTTCCTCTGGACCAACACTCTACACACATGCCGCAATCTCACCGCAACTCAGTCTCATCATCACTTGTAGTCAGTGAGTTTAGCAAAGTTGAATAAACAGAGAGATTCTGGTACATTTGTTTTTGTTTCTGTAACCACCGATTATTGTCATTAATCTGTCATTTTTTTTTTTTTTTACTGTATTTGATCTTTTTTTAACGATAATAATGATCATCACAATTCCCCAAAATTGTTTGTCCAGTCCAAAACCTGATAATATTCAACCAAGTGTCATATAAAACAGACGAGAGCTGAACAGCTGATCCTCTGAGAGGTTCACAGCGGCGGATATTTGGCAGTTTTTGCTAAATAATTGACTTTAATGATTAATTGCTTATAAACGTTGTTGACAGTTTTATTTTCAGTTGATTGGCCATTCAATTACTGGGCAAATCGTTTCAGTACATGCCGATATAAAAAGAATGACACAAAGAGAGTAATCATCACACACAGTAAAGATTGAGTTTATCCAGCAGTGAAGTCGGAGGCTATGTCAGGCTGTGCTCCAGCTGTTCTGGTGAAGCACTCAGATTCCTTTACTGGAGCAAGTGCCAGTGAAACAATGTAAAATACTCCATTAAAAGTAAAAGCCCTGGGTTGTTGTTATAACTGCTTGTGGTGGAGCTGGTTTTAAACAGTCAGGTAGTTTAGTCAAAGGCTCACAAGATAAATCTGAGACAATGAAATTAATTCTAATTTTTGCAATTGTTGTTTAATCTTTATTTTTTTTTCTGAGAAATTTGATGGGAAAATAAAATTATATATATATACATATATATTTGTTATGAATTTGACTTTTTAATTTGATTTATTTTTAAATTTACTCTATATATGTTTATGTAAAATCTTAATCTGAAAAAAACTAGTACCTATAACTGGGACATAAATATAATAGAGTAAAAAGTACATTACTTAGGAGAGGTATGAAGTAGAATGAAATGGAAATACACAAGTAAATTACAAGTATCACAAAACTGTACTTCACTACAGTACTTGAGTAAATGTACTTAGTTACTTTCCACCACTGATACAAATACAGACCAATTATCCCTAAAACAACAATCCCAAATTTCCAACCTTTAACAGAGTATTCATCCCATCTACTGAAGATTATAGGAGTCTTTGTTAGGTAACAGGGAAGGCACTAAAACCTGGGAATCATTATCCTGGGAAAAAACATTTCAACATAAAGCACTTTAAAAGAGGATGTGCTGTTAATACCCTCGGCTTCCATGTACATTTGATATGCATGCGGGGATTGTGGCATGTGGCATTTTCAGTAAAACATCTGCATTTAATCCCCTTTTGTGCCTTGTTCAGATGATGAGAATTCATATATGGACACGTGACAGAATGCTTATTTTCTATTTTTAATTTTCTTACTTTCATTTTGATTCCTGCTGTGTTGTGTTTTTATTGACGGAGATGTCAGTAATGACAGCTGGGCTCGCACAGTCAATCCAGATGTGAGTTTAAGAACGTGGTTGAACAGTGAGCTCCCTGCGGTGTGCATAAACTGCATTTGAGCAAGACCAAAAAATTGAATTTCTATGGTAATAAATTGGAAATAACTAATGGGAGTCCTGACAAAGTGGGTGATTAGTTGTTAGTTGGGCTGTGTTTATACAGGTGATAGCTCTTATGAAGAAATGAAATGGTTTTGGTCTTAATGAGTCACTTAGTTTTTGGCAGGAAACACGATTGTAATGATGGAAGCATTTCTTGACCTTGAGACTGTTCAACAATCCCTACTTAGCTTTCTTTTGGTGTAACTTGGCATCATGTGCCTGTGACCGGGGAGATGTGTGTAATGTGCTGTCCGTTAGGAGACTGATTCTCCACCCAGGGAACGAAGACGAGTGTGTGGCCGGAGATGGTCGGAGGGCGCGGGAGGGGGGATCATTAGAAAAGGAGAAAAATCTCTATTCTGTTTTCCGGTCAATACAAAGTGCATTATCTCATCTGAGGTTCCCTCTCCTCCGCCCCCGCTGTGCCCTCGTCCCTCCACGGAGACCAAACATCCGCTGTCACCTGTCAATCAAGCCCTGACAGACGGTGACCTTGCTCGGCATTGTTAGAAACGATTTGAATCGACCTTGCATTTTCAAGTTGCTTCCACTGCTGGTTTCCCTGGCAATCGGCTTGTAAAAGACGCGCCATGCCAAATAAAACGGGATTGATCGGCTCTCACATGAGGTGAATTATTGAGTCTGAGGCCAGAGCTGTTTCTGCTGTTTTTATATTCAGTTGTACTAAAGACTCAAGGTGCAAAATGTTGAGCCTTGATTTATGAAGTTAAAGTCTGAGACCGTCCTCAAGCCCGCAGGTCGTCTATTTTGTTGCTAGGCGACATCTAGTGGTCGTAGTAATTGTGACAGGAGCAACGGTGAAAGTGTCGGTGACGTAGGATAAAGAGAGGTCCACGTCAGGAGGAGGAGGTGGATGGATGAATGTGACACAGGAGAGTGGTGTTCGATTCCCATGTCAACCAGCCGTTTATCTCGTAACCCTGACAACAAAGATAGTGAAATGTTGAGGAGGTACTTTTTTAACCCAAATCACATTATTGTAGTAACCATGGAGACGAAGGTAGGTACACCGCTGTCGGTACAGCCCGCGTGTTTATTATTGTAACTGAGGTCTGGAACGCCTGCCGCCACGGGGGCGCTATTTCAGGGGACGCTCATATGGCTCCAATCAGAGGGTTGAAAACAAACGACCTGTGGTTGTTTGGGGCGGAGGAGGAGGTGACACTTTCACATAGAATAAATATAAGCGGAGCAGAGTCAGCTGATTTCATTTTATAGAAATAAACGTAAACGTTGGAGCCTCTCGTTCTGTTCCTCCAAACACACAGTTTGTCTCCAGTCTGTCGTTGTTTGTCTTTGTATAAACCTTGTGTTTGTTGCAACTCAACAAGATCAGAAATGCTTGACTGCAGGGCATCTTCATTTAGCAGCACCCACTATTTTGTGGGAAACTATGTCAGCATGATTTGTGCTCTCTACTGATACTGTGGAAGTTTGTTTTGTACCAAATTATTGGAGCAAATCTCTGATGTCAGCCCTTGAAGTTGTATCTAAATGGATGTAGAACAAATGAGGGAAGTGCGTGTGCACACTCACATGTGTGCACATGTGTGTCTGTTGTTTTGGGCATTTTGCAGGTGGGGGCGGGGGTGGGGGGTGCTGAGGGAGAGCCGGGGTGATACGACTGTGTGTGTGCATGTGTGTGTATGTGTGTTGGCAGGGTGAGCTGTCTAACTCAATCTGTCCAAGCTCATGTTTCTGTCAGGGTTAGCGTAAGCCAGCAGTCAGCCATGTCAGACACTAAATGCCAGTTTTGGGGAACAAAGTCTTTTTTTCTTCTTCTTCTTCTATTTCATATGTGGAGCTCAAGGAAACAGATCAGAGGGAGACTGTGGAGGTTACTACTGTCTGAGCGGATGTCAGGGGGGAGACGAAGAAGAACACTGACTGGAGACAAACAATTAGAGCAGAGAAGACTACAGAACATGCTGATGTGTGTGTGTGTGTGTGTGTGTGTGTGTGTGTGTGTGTGTGTGTCTGACAGGAAGGTAGCACATGGGTGATGCTGTTCCTTTCGAGGAGACAGAGAACTGTCACAATCTGCACCTTAAGCACCCCCCCCTCCCCCTCTGGCTCTGTCGCTCTCTCTCAGTCAAAATGATTGAGGTTTTTTTTTTTTTTTTGAGGGACGTTGCTGTAAAATAAGAAAACTGAAGCCTCTGAAGTGGCTGTTACCCGCCTCTCCCACATTCCCCCCCGTACCCTCACCAAGCTCATTCTCACACATCACAGCCTCTATACCTCCCTCCCTCCCTCCCTCCTGTCTCCCTCGCTCTTTTTTGCCCCCCCCCTCCTCTTCTTCTCTCTCTCTCTCTCATGAATGTCACCTCTACTGATGGTGGCTGCTGGAATTCACGCACACATACTCTCACAACCACTCGCTGACTTTGGATGGGAGGAGGAGGAGTAGGAGGAGGAGGAGGGGGAGGAGGTGGAGGGAGATGGGGAGGGGGAGGAGGGGGTTCGGTGAGGACTGTGGGAAAGGAGCGTGCCATCGGAGGCAGAAGAGGAATCTCCTTCTGTCTGTGTCCATGTCTCCGCTCTGTTCCCGGCTTCCTTCCGACAAAGACCATCAACGTCCCGCCTGCTGTTCTACCTCTGGATTTAAGTCGGCTGGATTACCGCCTAGACTCTCAGCTCATTATTCCATGCTGCCACATTTAAATGGGAGGCAAAGTTGGACCTCCGTGGACTGCACAAATGGTGACAAACAGTTTGATTTCTTTTGCGCTTTTAAGAGCTTCTTAGCATTCAAAATGATTTCACTTTTCTTCAGTAAAAGTGTTTTTATATGTAAAGTCATCTGAGCACCTCCTCTTTGGTGCTGTCTATTTAAAGTAGGTTAGTCGTTTTGCAATATAAAATTTTCAACTTGGCTGTTGAGGCGCATTTTGATGTGAAAGATGAGTGGGGAAGAGGGGTAGAAATCTCTCCATCCTCCCCTTGTTAAAAGTCAGTCCTTCTTCACTGGTTTTTCTGTCAAACTGAAGATGTGACTGTGGCACTTTTTCCGTGCGCTCCGTTAGTGTCAGATTTTTATTTTTGGGCAGAGTGGAGGCTTTACATTGGACTGCAGGTGAACTTGCATTTCTTCCATTTCTCCCCTCTCCCAAGGAACCCTCCAACTAAACTCTTCCCTGTTCACCCACTTTAGACGGCCCGTCTCCCCCGTGGGGGTTACTCTAAAGCACCCGTCCTACTCTAGTTTTTTGAGGAAAGCAAAACCCAAACCAGTAAAGGGGGTACTGGGAAGGAAGGCACCCCCCTCCCAAAGGTGAGAGGGGGGGAAGATGGCAGCTCTCGCCAGCTCTCTCATCAGACAGAAACGGGCGGTCAAGGACGACCAAGCCAACCGACCGGTAACCAACAAGCGCAAGCCCTGCCCTAAGAGCAACAAGTCCTTGTGCCAGAAACAGATCCTGGTCCTGATCTCCAAAGTACGACTATGCGGGGGTCGAAAAGGTCGAAACGACAAAAGACCGGGTGAGTCGCTGCTATTGTTTTCATCTTTCTCCGCTTGTTCGTGCTCATGTGTTGGAAATGAAAGCTGAACAAAAGTATGTGACATTTTCATTAAGTGACTGAAAACCAATGAGTGTTTTCTGTTTGTTTTGTTTTTTAATTAAAAAAAATGCATTTGTTATGAAATTCAGTAATTTACTGTGTCGTCATCAAGTCAAGATTTCAAATTGAATGCATTTTATTTCAGTTTCTATTTCTCCATTTAAATCAAATTGAATTTGGTTTATTTAGTCCATCAACAGCTTTAGAAATGATTCACTTCCATCAGTAGGAAGGAACCGCGCAGCATCACAGCTGGTTTTTAAGCACACATAATCCATTTTATAAAAGATATCAATTTGATATCTGTTGCTTTCATAAATCATTAAACCTGATACTTTCAGCTTAGCAGTTGTGTTCGGGGCAGCTTCACCTGATACGCTGACCGATAGTACCTGCTGTACTCAGCTTCGTAAAGTGAAAATAAAACAAGTTGTTGAATAAATGCACAACTCTGATGAAATGATTTTAGATACAACTGATGGAGCTTTTGTGTTTCTAAACATATAATTATGCAGAGATCTGCAGCAACAATAAACTGTGTAATTAGCTGAGCTCTCTCCACTTTGATGCACATATTCACACAAAATCAACTGCACACTTTTGTCCCATGTAGCAGGATTTGCAATTTCCAGCACACCAGACTTTTCTCATGCATGGGGGGAAATGGTTAGATAACAAACTTCAAATGTAAAAAATAAAAATCATTTATATGCAGATCAACATGTACAGATTTATCAATTGAATTCATAGAGAAACCAGTGAGTGACACATATTCACACTAAGTGGAAGATTCACTGGTTGAAACTGGTTGGGATTTTGATTTGTAATGGAGATATAGTTTTACATATAATTCAGTGCATGTCGTCTGGACGGACCCACTCGTTGTTTGAGTATTACTCGGTCATTTTTGTTACAATATGTAAAATTTGTGACTAAAATAACAACGTTTCTGAACCAATTTAAAAAGTTATTTCTGGTGGACTGGTCAACAACACAGTGTCACGTCAGCTCCATGTCAAAGGGAAATCTTACATGAACACCTGCACCATGAATCATATGTGGGTAAAACGTGTCCTGTGCTGGGTAAGTGTGGCAGGTTCTCTGATGTACGTTCTCTCTGAATGGAGAAGTACGTCATGTGTTGCCCACACTCTGTCTTATCAAAACTTGTCAATGGAAAAGAAAAATGTGCCACAACAAGAATAGCACATTTAAACACAGACAACCTCCTTGATGTTGTGGTCGCAGGTGCAGTGTGTGTTGTTGTTAAACTGGTTATATACTATTGTTCATAAATTATACAATGTCTTGCTACGTTTAACATTTAATGGAAAGTCATTTTTTGTTGAACTTCTTGATATTTAAACTCCTGTGGGGTTTTTTTTCTAAATGAACTGTTGCACTAACTCAGGAGACAGAACAACGTTACCTCTCCATTTATTTGTGCAGTATCCTCTCCTCCTTTGGCGTGATTGATACACTTTTAAATTATTAAAGTCATGACTGAGAAATATTTTTCTTTATTCATGCACAATTGGTAAGTGTAGTATGCTTAAGTTAAATTATGCATATTACAGAAATGCCAGTGAACAAACATCCTTCATAAAGAGGCGACACACTTTCACACTTTCATGGCTGATTGAGGAGGAAACAGTGAATTTAGAGTGTTTTTCCCCCCTGCAGCTAAAGACTGCATCTGAGCAGATTGAACGTGAGGATGATGAGCGATGAGCACAGCTTTGTGCCTGATGAGGACTTTCATTTCATTCTGCACCACCCTCTTCACGTCTGCTTTGCTTTAAACAGCATTGTGATGCAAAAACTTTGAAGTGCACCTTGTGGCTAAAAGACTGATGTGCTGCAGAGACGATACCGTACAGTATTTACAGTGGAAATTGAAGAAAGCGTAACATATGAAAGCCTGATGACCTGAATTTGTTCTGGCAGGGACTGTGGAAGTCCTGACAGCTTGCTGAGTGATATTTTTAGGTAAAAGAAAATATCTTCATATAAAAAGGTATTTGTACTGGTTCAATACATTAAAAGGAAAGTAGCTTCATGCCAATCATCCAATTCAGTGGTTCAGAAACCTCCTCCTCTGTGTTGCTAACAGACTTAGCAAATGTGACATAATGAAATAACATACTGTGTCATTGAAGCTTTATTTCCTGGAAAAATGTGTGGAGCCATTAATTTGCATCTGTTCTGTATCGTCTGGACGGTTCCTGTGTTTCATGAAAGTTAATTCCATTTTCACATTAAAGTGAGCACAGGAGATCACAGGAGATCGACTCCTTTCACGCTGCCAGGAGACGAGTTTGCCTTTCTGTTCTGACTGACAGAGTTAGCCATGCTAACTAGCTGCTAGCCACCGTGTTGGTAAATGTCACTTTTAAAAGTTATTTCACGGCTGTACTTTGAGCGAAGCGCAGAATCGGCGGGCCTGTACAGCAGCTAGCAGCTAGTTAGCATGGCTAGCATTGTTAGCATAGCTGTGCCGTAATGTGTGTAGCCCACAGACTGCAGCCCATATAAATAAGGCGCAGCCGCAGTGTTTCTGGTTTACCAGCAGGTGAGCCGGTGAACGTTAGCGAGGTCACCCGTGTGTCACGTTTACATCACTGCTGATCAGAGCTGGAGTGGATGAATACCTGTGACCACTGCAGAGTCATTTGACCTGGGACTGAATGACGACTGTATCTGTTCACACTGAGGACAGAAGCCAGATGTTAGCGAGTGTTTGTGGTTTTTTGTCCAGTGTGAAAGGAGCTTAAGTTATTTACATAATTATACCAGATGTTGTTCTGGTGTTGCACTGGCAGAGGGGTTGATTATGGACTTGAATGCAAAGGCTCCACACTCACACACAGCGAGTTATTATCATCATGATTTCATGAGAACGTTATCAGTGACTTGGCTTGTCCCGAGAAATCCTATTTGCCGTCTGAGCTGTAAGGCTCTGTGTGACATTACAATTAAACATGTTAATTAACAACATATCATTATGTTAACAGAAAATCTGGCCGTAATCTGGTCGGCGTTATTTTTCCTTCAAAACATATTTGCTGTGGCAAATCAGTTATATATAAATGTAATTTCTATGAGACTGGGCAGAAAAAAACAGAGCAATTCATTTTAAACACCAGCTCACTCACAGATCACAAATCTGCTTATTCACTCTCAGCAGTTTGTCCACAAGGAGAAGTGATTCAATTTCAGCCCTGTTCTACATAAGAAAACTCTCTAGACCCACGAGACCTGTTAACGTTGCCACCTACAGGCAAGTAAACTGACACCGGCTGCAGTTTAAACAGAAAACGTGTCAGAGAAATCGATTCATTTAACATACTGTGAACAGCATGTCTGAAACACTTTGGGATTTTGAGCAGATATATATTAAATACTTTAAAAACGTTCCTTGGGTTTGAAGAATGCTTCGAGATTAGACATTAGCATTCAGTCACATCTTTTGTAACGTGCACATCGTAGTTTGTCATTTGCACAAGTTAATACCTTGTAACTGGGAAATACATTCTGTGGTAGATCTGTGGTTTCACAGACGAGGAGAGTTTCAGTCATACTAGCATCACAGCAGCACACACAAACTATATTTTCTCCTGCCATGAAGCAACAGCTACTGAAATGTTAGCGATGGACATAAACCCTGCTGCATATACATGTGGTCCAGGACCAACCACAGCATCTGCCTGGTTTTACCTGCCTCGCTCCCTCCATCACGCTGCTCTCTGAGCGCTGCACAGTCCCTTCCCTCACACAAAGCCTCTTCCACAGCAGACCTGACCGATGATGAAAAAAAAAGACTCTCCCCCACTGTCAGTGATCTGCACTGCTGCCCTCTTTTCCAATCAATTCAGCTCATTAATGTATAGCGATTAATCAATAATCACCCTCTCAGTTTGTTCAAGGTGGAATCTGACTTGAAAAGGGAGAGATATCGAACTGCCTGCCCCTGTGATTCACCTTTAGTATCCTTCTCCAAGTTAGACCACACACAACATGTGTGTGCATGGAACTGAAGAAACACAAAAATATATATTTATCATTGTAACAACTGTGTGGAAACGTGACGAGACTTTACAGCAGAAAAATGCAAATTAAAAACAGTAACACTATTACCTGAGTCATTAGAAACTAAGGTATGCAAACACAGTGCAGACCTAGTAGCACTGAGTGGGCTGTTTGGCATGGAGGTGCTCTGTAGTATGTTGTAGGAGTAAGGCACCGAGGGGCCAGTCGACAGTCGGAGCACAAATGTGGGCCCCGGCTGGCGGCAGCAGACCGGGTTACAAGGAGAGATCCAGCAGAGGATAGCATTAAGCTGACCCCAAGAGATCAGGGCCACAAACTCGCTTACTCAACAACACCTGATCAGACAATGCAGTGTTAGGTAGCTTCTCATCAGAACTTTACTGACTGTGACAGGGGTCAGAGAGAGAGACAGAGAGAACGAGAGGGAGGGAGGGGCAGTCTGCAGAGGTAAACACAGGCCTACAGAGAACAGTAAAGATATTACTGATGTCAGAGGAAATTGTATCAAAAGGTGGAGGCGGATGGCAACCATGGGGGTGGACACAGATAAAGAGGTAATCAAAAATACAGGAAGAGAAGTAGGGAGAGATACCAGTGGAGATTAAAGAGAAGGTGGGTGGGACTGAAAAGAGCTGTGAATCAGCCTGTCATGGAGGCAGCATGTGGAGAGGAAGATGATGGGGAATCATGGGGCTGGATGTGAAGTGTCACTGTAAAACAGCTTCCTTCAGACATCAAGTTCTTCTCTTGTTTAATAATCTGCCCAGAAAGAAGGTTGGAGGCTGAGAATGTTTCCTCTATTTAAAAAGCGATGTTTTGGTTAATGTTGAGTGAGTGGGTCCAGTCACTGACTGCTGTGCTGCGTGCAGAAGCTCAATAAACAACCCTGGATATGATGTTTATCTGCTATGAATCTGTTGCTAGATTCAATTTTCAGCATGCTTTTTCAAGAAAATGAATTGTAATGTTCTCGGAGGGGTGAGGGAAGGTGAAGGACTTTGACACCTGAGACTTGGGTCGGCTTCCTGCTGGAAGAAATGGGAACAAACAACTTCCTGCCGCAGTTGGAACAGTTCTGGTTGCTTCACATTAGGAGATTTCTATGTTTGTGTGCTGATGACTGGTTTAATGTGCGCAGGGCTCAGCTGACAGAAGGTGATGTCACATATTTCAATTCACCAATCACGATTCACCAAATTTCTATATTGTTTTGGGGTTGCCTGTCTGTTTCTCATGAACGTGATATCTCCATATCCCCATAACTTCAAACTCGGCACAAACGTCGACTAGGACTCGAGGATGAACTGATTAGAATTTGGTGTTCAAAGGTCAAAGTTCAACGTGAATGTGGTGGCATCATAATACATAAGATAACACACTTAAAGTTGGTTATTCTAAAGTTTCAGAGAGTTCACTAGAAATCACTTTAAATTCAGCACACAGTCTCAAACTGCAGATAAAACAGGATGTTATCCATGTTCCCTCAGAAAACCGTGATAATCACAGTAATGACAGCAACAGAAGCTGTTGGTAGTTGTATGTTTCCAAGGTATATGGTAAAACCTGCACATCTCTATTCTAAACTTACTTGTTGTTGCAGATGTTGTAAGTAACCATAACTTCTGGAGTTGGAATAAATGACATGAGCAATTCACTTGAACACCCCCACAGTAATAAAGTATAGCAGACTAACTGTGTGAGTATGTTAGGAAAGACTGTATCCCAGCTGCCTCGTAAGTTAAAATCTCTCTACGAAATGAGTGAAAGTGCAAAAGAACTTAAAGATGACATCAAATTTCTTGTACATATGAGATCTTTTTAAAAAGAAAAACAGGGTTTTGTAGAAAACATCTTTAAATTTTTATCAAAGCAAAATATTGAGAAAGTATCTTTTTGGCATCAGTGCCAAAACTAGGTTATTGAAAAATGTTCAAATGAAATCCAGCCTTAATCAAATGTGAGGGCTCTCCAAACAGCAGCTTCCTGTTTGTCTTCATCTCCACAAGACAAACAAAAGATTAGTGCTTGATTGCTGCTGGGGTCATTCCACCAATGTCTGGGGATTTTCAGCCTTGAACGACCCTTGTTTCATCAGTCAGATCTAAAATATCTGGTACCAAATGGTGTCGACGAGGACAGGGATGCAGCTGTTCGTGCGTAGAAGTAGGTGATCTAGTTCATTGCTTAAACTCTGTCCAAGATGTGCCCATCAGATTAAACCACAATGAAACAACAAAGTTTTGCCTCTAATCTTTTAGGGTTCCTTATATAAAGCAAAAATCTATCAAAGATTAAAGGATGTACTTATGTACTTATTTTAATTTTGAAGGTTTATATAACTTTATGTTTTTGGTTGGACTCTGGACAGGAGGCGGTCAGGGGGATCCATTTTCTTTTTCTGTATTATTGCGGTTAGAGTTTAAAGTTGGCTTTTGAGAATACATCCAGCTGTAGAGAGGCTGTTGACAATCGCCTTAAGTCTCATTCCCAGTGAGGCAGCGGAGGTTTGTGTGTACAAAGAACATCCTTTTGTTTCCTGCCGTCCTGAGGATTCCACCTTAACCTCCCACACATACCTGCTAAATTGAATCTGTGGGTGCTTTGATTAAAGCTGACAAGGACAGATTGAATTTACCTCTAACAAGAGAAAGACAGTGAGGATGGAGGACACCTAGAGAGGTAATGATGAGGAGACAGAGTGTGAGAGGAAGAGGGCGTGAATGGGAGATGTACTGGAAGAGAAGCAGGAGGTTCTCTGAAACCAAAAAGACGTGTCTGTGTGCACATGTACACACAGTGTGCACATCACTATGAAAATTATTACATTTCACTGAAATACCAGATTAAAATCTCAGACAACGAGGAAAAATCTGCGTTTATATTGATTTTCTTTTACATTTACCTGTGATGACTTTTAGACATGAGTATCAGAGACTCACCCGCAGCAGGAGGTCGACATCCTGCGGCACACTGGCAGCTGCTGGTCCCGCGCTCTCTGGGGGGACGTACAAAAAAAATAAAAAAATCATCCAGCTGCTCGATTCATTTCTGAATCAGAGAACAGAAAGTGACAGTGACTAATCTGGAGGAGAACAGACAGTCTGAATCTGAGCAACCTTTTCATCAAGAGACATTAAAGTAAAGTGTTTGGTCACGCTGCCCCACTGCTGCATGGGAAAAGAAATAACTCGCTACTAGAAATGTTACATGATTTTGAAAATACCAACGCTACTTATTGAGAAATGTAATGACATAATTAAAGGTTCTATAAATGATCATCACTGCCACTAGATGTCGCACTACACCACCAGCATCTCAGACCAAAGCAAACGCTTCGTCAGCCTCCGTTATCCTTATCGTGGTCGCACACAAATTTCTTAAAGTTATTTTTTGGTCGTTTATAGATGCGGTGAGAAAGAGAGAGGAAAATTGGGGGGAGAGAGAGAGGGGGGAGATGACGTGCAGCAAAGGGCCACGTGTCGACTCGAACCCGGGCCGCTGCGGTTAGGACTAAGGCCAGGAACACGCTGGATGCGTTGTGTGTGCGTCGCAGCTGCAGAACATCTCGGTTTTCATTTCAGCGCACATGTTAACGGGTTAGAACGACACACTGGCTGCACTGCGTGTTCTAGAGACTCCGCCTCTTGTCTATTTTCCACACGTGACGCACGTGTGCCCACAGCAAAAACACCTGTTGATGTCACAGTGACATCATAGCAGCAACATCACATAAAACAGACTCCTTCCACTATAGTTTCAATGTCTGAATATGATACAGACGTGAAAAAATATTTTTTAACCATTTTAGCAGCTGCTCTACCAGGTCAGCCACCGAGGCGCCCTGGTTGGTAAAAACTTTAAAACTTCATGGATGTTTTAACGGTCCACCGGCCGACTGGGATTTGAGCCAGTAGTCTCCATGGTCAGTCCACCTGAGGGTCTCACATGCACTAACATGCACATGCTACCAGACCAGCTACCAAAACAACAACAGAGAAACTCAGATTACATCACTCACAGAGGGGGCGTGGCTTTGTTCTCTGCTCAGGCCGCTGTTACTCCACTATACTTTTACATAGTTTGCTGCTGTATCAGAGTTTAAAATCTCATTTATAGAACCTTTAACATACTAACCACATAATGTACAGGTTAATGGACAGGTGCATAACAATGCAGCAAAACACACATCACACGCTGTGAACCAGAATTTCACCTTTACACAGAGACACACTTCACTGCAGTGCTTATTCAAACAAGTGTCCTGCATCATCTCAAGCATTTTATTGTGTTTGATGAAACGTCCAGTTTGCGCTCTGCTCACTGTCATACATATTTGTATAAGTGTACTGTACATTCATTTGTTATTTTCCCACTTCTTTGTGTGAGTGTGTGTATCTGTGTCTGAGCGTCTCTATTCAAATACGAATATCGAAACTGTGTCAGCTGAACTTAATCTCAGACAGTGTTTGGCTGAAACCAACAATGGATTCCCTCCTCTAGTGCCAAGCTGTGTTAAGCGTCTCTACTCGTGGTTTTCTTCTTGTCCGTGTGTGTGGGAGAATCTGTGTGTGTGAGGACTATATCTAAGTTTCAGCAGGGAAAATCAATGCAGGTTTGAATTCTGAGTCCTTCCTCGTCCGTCACTGTGCAGTTAAGCTTAGCTGTGTGTTTACTTGTGTGATCATCACACGATCTGACAGAGGTCTGGACCCCTTTGGGAGTGCAGAGGAATGTTTGTGTTTGTTTGTTCTGCATATATTAAAGTGCCTATTTGTGTCCTTGCTGGAGGGTCCATGGAAAAAGGGATAGTTGAGGTGTGTTGGGGAGCTGCAGGCACAGTGGTCTTGCTCTTGTGCTTCTGTTTTACTTGTTTAACACGTCGGAAAACACAGTAAAGAAATTACGATTTCAACCTGAAGAATAAAATGTGGCAGCACATACAGTAAATAACATGACTGTTGAAGGTGCGAAGCGAAAGGATGCAGCCGCACCACGTCATTGTGAATCTCCTTGGCTGAGCATGTCGTTAACTGTCACTGATATGTTCCTGTCACAATGCTAATGAGGCACACATGTGAATTTTGAATGTGTGTCAGGGAAGCGGCGTGAGTCCTATTTGCTTCTGCTCGTGTTTGACATGCTCCTGTCAGCACCATTAATAAGCAGCAACAACTCCATCTCACTCATGTGAACGTCTGCCATTGTCACGTAAAGATGATTTATGGAGCCTTGAATGTAAATGAAGAGGCCATTGTTGGAGTTGCGGATGATGTGATACACCTCATTCATTTCTACTCCTTCTTTAACCTGGCTTCTTGTCCAGCCATCCTTCTTCTTCCTCCTCTACAACATCCTTTTTCAACCTGTCTCCCCCTATCTCCTCTCCCTCACTCCCTCCCTTCCTCCCACGCTTGTCACACTCTGTATATTAGTATCGTTCTTTTGCTCCATCATTGCCCTTTTCTTCTGCTCTTGCCATCCCTCTCCCTCTTTTATTTTTGGACAAACCAAGAGCATCCCTCTGTCTTGCCTCCATGTTGTTAACTAGCTTTCATGATTTCATTCCTCCCTTGCTCCTCTCCCCCTCTATCTTCCCACAAGATTGATAATTACTAGCAGCACTGTAGAGCTCATGGCCCAGTTTAGAAAAAGAAAAAAAAAAAGGAACCATGTTCTCCTTTTATTAGAAGCAGAATCAAACACTACACAAGAGAAAGACTCCCACTTTCTTGTATGTATGCAGCGCACATGCAATATATGTGCTGCATACAGTACACTCAGGGTGAGAGGAGACGTATAGAGAGAGCAGCTGAAACTGATGGAGAGCACGGTGAGGAAGGACGGGAGAGTCAGGGAGTCCTGAAAATATAAGCCGAGGAAAACCCCTGTTGTTTAGTTTGGTCAGACAGGAGAAGAAGAAATGCCCTTGGCTGCTCAGTCATGCAGGCCCCCAGTAATTACCTCCAACATTATCAAGAGCAGCTCGGCTGGAGGCAGATCAGCGAACGACATACTGAGCTCAAATCAAGCCAGATAAATACATTAGTGTAATGATAACCAACACCGAGCCATACACTACGCTGATTAGAGATAAACCTCAACCACTGCTGATTTTTCAGAGCAATTACATCGCAGAGAAGGGTTTAAGTGTCCTTGATGGCAGCCGTGATGCATACAGTGATTACCTTGGGTTCTTATGTGCACTGACCTCATTTATACAGACACATACATAATTGCTGTGTGAATGGTTTTACTGTAGGACTCGGCTCCAGTCTCCCCCAGGTGATTTTCAAAATGATTATCAGCGCCGAATGTAAATTGATGAGGGGCATCCCTGTGTAGACCGTGTAGCAGCTACTGCTGGGATTACAGACAAATCCAATTTAATAAACAAAATGCTCTTATGGCTATAATCTCTTATGTTTTTACAAAACTTATAACACTTATTTACTCATCTATGTCGCTCTCTGTCTGAACATTTTAATTAAATATTTCTCCCCGATGAAACAGAAACACAGGAAAATGACTGTCAGCCGATAAACTTTTCATGTGCCTCATATTGAATTTTATTATTGACGTTTCCGTGAACGCACTTCTCAGCAATTTGCAATTTTCAGAGTCTGATAAAGAAAATGTGACTTTCAGTGCAGCACATATACATTATCTTTTACAGCCACGTCCCTGAAGGCTCTCTCTCTCTCTCTCTCTGCTCTCGCTCATGTGTAGAGAGGTCACTTGGAAAAAGGCCTGCTGATGAGTCAACATGTTGTCGGCTGTGCTGACAACACCTGTGTGCTGATGTACATAAACAGACAGGGAGCTCTCTTTGACCCACACTCCACTGACCTGGATCAGCGAATGTTTTCTGTCACTCAAGCCCACACGTGTCCCAGGAGTGGCGAATGTAGTCACACACCTCCCCTCCGCGGGAAATACCCAGGACAGTGGAGGCTGCAGCTTGTGTTTCTGGCATATTCAGTGAAAGTTCTGCAAAGCAGATGAAGGCGTGCTCACCCTGAAAGATAATGTGCAGTCCCTGCTGTTCTTTTAACTACAGGACAGGAATGCACCTCACACTAAATGACAGGATACATATGGTCGGATTAATCATGATTATTAACAGTCTCAACTGGCGAGAGAGGAGTTGTGTGTTTAACTAAGTGCTGATCCACTTACTGTACGCTCATGGCTTATTACAGAAAACCTGGGAAATAAATAAATAACTAAATACTTTGTCCACAGAAGAAACATCCCACCCTCCACCCTGAGAACAAGTTACATACTCCACCACACTTTAATCGCCAACCTATTCCCTGTAACTCGATAACTGATTAATAATTTCAGTCATTTTTTAAGCATAAATACCAAAAGTTCTGTTTCCAGATCCTGATAAAACAAGCAATTTGAATATGTCACACTGGACTCTGACAAATCCTAATGGACATTTTTCACTGTTTTCTGACATTTTATTGACCAAAGGTTAATCCATTAATCAAGAAAATAGATGAATCATTAACAACAATGATAAATAGTAGTAGCTCAATTTCACACTTTATGGGACTGTGTTACCAAAGATCAGATAAATGTAATTAAAGTGTCAAGTGGCTTTTAGCTGCCATCATGTGCAGTTGTCTGTTGATGAAAATGATGATGAAAATATCAACGGTCAAAATGTCCACTGGAAAATAATCCAAATAAATGAATAATGAAAAAGTTTGGTTTTGCCTTTGCTGTCATGTGACTAAGCATGGCACAATGAGTGTTTGGTCATGTGATTAGACTCCACTCTGCATATAAGCACGACTCCGACATGTCAGAACAGACATCCCTCAGACAGTTAAAAAACCAAGTGATGGTGAACGTGCTACAGCCAAGGCCAGCGAGACGACAAGGCGTCAAGCTCCTCAGGAAATGGAAGATGCAACAGCCACAAAACAATGTTTTAAACCAGAAGGAAAAGTTCAAACGGTTAAGACATGAAAATGTGGACGGACCAGACAAAATGTTCGGACCTATTTGTGAGAAGCCAGAACAAATGGCTTAAGCGTAGGTCAATCAACAGCACTGTGTCAACACAAACAAGGAAAGACACACTTATCTCACATCTGAGTCTTTTTACCAAATGGCAGAAAAACTATTACTATTAACTATTATAATTGAACTCTATCAAAGGCCCTGATTTTGAAAGTGATACAAGCTTTTACAGACACAATGAAGCAGGAAACTAAATGCAAATCGACCTGTATGTAGGGTGTTGTACTGCTATTTACAACATATGGAACTGTGAGGGAATTTTCTCTTGTGCACCTAATGAATGACTGACTCAGGGTGAAAGGTCAGTGTGAGGCCCTAGGTCTCTGTGCCCCAGCTACTGCACTAAATCTTATAGGCCTTGAGACGCTGAGGCGGCTCCTCCAGACGCAGCGGTGGTTTTCTGCTGATACTGCTGGTGCCAGGGCTGATAACAGAAGACCTTGGATGGTCAGTTCTAAGAATCAGCACTTGTGCGTATATAGTCTTGTTTCCTTGTTTATGGTTAATGAACCAATAGTGTATTCACACATCCCTCTTCTCCCTCTTCTTCTAGATATTTGACCAATTATGGAGTGTAAGCTATCTATAGTAATCTCTCTAAGTGTATAAAGACTATCCTCGGGGGTTCCTGCTTCAGATTTGAGGTGACATCATGCACAGGAGACTGTATTGATGAATCTTCTTTTCTCCTTGATCAAGCATCAATAAACATCCTGAGCATAAGACATCCTGGACTCCAGCGCTCTTTCTTCACCGCCGATGATAACAATTTTTTCCTAACAGGAAGTGTGGAATATTACCTGCATGTGACTGT